ATACAGATGAGAAAATAATTGCAGTTCTGTGGATGAAAATTACACACAACGTGTGGCCATTCAGGTCTAGGGAACCTGAGAAAAGTTAAAAAAAAATACAACATATGAAACAGATGTGTTTTTCAAAATTTTTTGTGCTGCCTCAAGCTTGACTTTACACACACACATGAAAAACCAATATGCTGGTGAAGACTATTCCAATATTACTGAAATTGCTCTGTCAAAGTACTCCTAGGAAAATATCTTGTTCATCAGGACCAAACGTGGAGAACTTTTGGGGCAGAAATTTTGTCAGACAGCTTCAGTATAAATTGTCACAGATGGGCTGACAGTGTAACACTCACTCACACTCAGGTATTTGAGTGGCTGTACTTACTGATGTCCCCACATTAATGTCTGATCCAGACCACTGACCAGGTCCACCAACAGAAACAACTGCAAATGCACCAGGCTCCAGATGAGATGTGTCTCAAACATCCAGAAAGCCAGTAGATCCTTCCCAAAGTAGCCAAGTAGTAGCACGCAGCTAAAAGGGATGATCTAACACCAAATACTACTGGAAAGTTTGCAGTGCTCTTCTCAAGGACTTGACTTTTCTGAAGAGATTTTCTGTGGTGATGACCCTAGTGTAAACAGTTACAGCAGGAAGTTTTCCTCAGAAAGCTCCTGACAAGGCATATAACCAAACAAAGCCATTAACTATACTGAACACTGAATTCTGGGGGTATTCAACACCAAATTTGACCTAGAAATTACTAGAATACAACATTGCAAACAATTAACTTTTTTGTCCGAAAGATGTCTTTTTGCTAAAGCGTGGTTGGTTATGAAGACTGGGCTCATCCTTCTGCATTTATTTAAGAATTTTCGAGGGACATCAGGAATACAAAATAAGGTCTGTGGCAGAGCTTTTCTTTGATCTAATACAAACAGACTACTATTCTGCAAGCTGCAAAAGTACATTTTAATTACCACAGTGAAAGCAGATGTAAAATCAATAAGGTGTTTTATTTCTCTCATTGATGTGTATAAATACTTACTTTACAGCAAGGTTAAGCTGAGTTTTCTGTCATTAAATGTAAGGATTGATGCAGACCATTCAAACCAGGTTAGAGCACCAGAGAACAGAGTACCCCTCTGTGTCACACCATCATCTGAAGATACTCATCTAGTGCTGCAAAAACTTGTGCTGCCTCAATATTTTCTGGGATATTCAGAAATTTCTGATTTCACCCATTTGGGATTGAAGGCTATAATGGACAAAACTTTATTCCAAATAACTGGGTCAATGATTCCAGTGTTTATACAACTGTGCTTGCTTGTCTTAATTTATGAAGTAGTTCAATTACTATAGAATTTCTTGGGGATGTCTCATTTTAATCGAATCATTAATTCTATGCTCAGAGGATGTATAGAAATTGACAGTCAGTTCCTGCTCTTCATTTTAAAGCAGAGATAAATCCAGTTCAGAGCCTCCCACTCTCTCAAACTTTGTGGAAAATTCAGGCTGTATTCACAAGTATCAAAGACCTAGCTTTTTGTTATGTTTTGGTTTTGTGGGTGGGGGTTTGTTGTTTTTGTTTGTTTGGTTTGGTTCGGTTAGGTTTTGTTTCTTTATTAGGTGAAAGAATCATAGTCTCCTGCTACCCTTGGCTTCACTCTGAATGGAAATAAGCTTTGAAAAACTCCATGGAGGAAAGGCTGGCCCAGCCAGAGCAGCACTAAAATGGACTTTGCCTCTACTACAAATACATCTGTGACACTAGACAGAACAACAAACCCAAAACTTCAGAAGACTTAAAATATTTAAGCATGGACTACCAAAACACTGAAATCAAATGCAAAGTTTTGCTTTTTAAATCTTAATAGATTTCATATCCCAGTTTTCTTCTTTACAAGACATTTTCCTCCCTGACAGTGGAATGGGAATACGCCTTCAACTCTGAAAGGCACACAAGTGTGTTGCTAATAGGTGCTGTAGAAGTACTAGTGATTCAAAGCCAATTTAACATTATTCCCATCATTTTACATCTTCATTTAGAAGTTGGTTTAAATGGGTATATCCCTATTTGCAAGTCTCTTCAACCACACCATTATGCACATAGTGCCCAAATGACAATCCAATCTGCTCCACAAAAATCTGCAATTTTTCTTCTGCTTTTTAAGAAGTACTTCCTGTATTTTTAAATTTCATTTTAGTTCAGTTTATGACCTGTTTTCACACATTCCTCATGTATTCCATTGTGAGGCTTCTTAGAGAAATCTACAGGAAAGAGGTACTTGTAGTGTCTGCTCAATGATGTGCAGAGGGACCCAAACTACAAAACATCTGGTTATACTGTACAGACAGGGGAACCATGAAGGCAAGTTTGCCAGTAGCAGAATTTTAGTCTTGAATAAATTAGAAGGGAGAGATCATTCACAGGCTCTTTTCTAGCAAAATTATATGAATATCAGATTAGCATGGGACAAGAGCCCAGTGAGAATAGAGCCCTTATGATTCAAAATGCAGAAATATCAGAGGAAACATGTCACAGAAATAAGGAACAGCAAGGATAAGGATGTTATGATTCTGGGTTTTTTTTCCCCTTTTTTACTGCAGTCACATAAGACAAAATGCCTTATCAAGGAATATGCTTTCAGGGGCCAATTTTGCATCTAATGAAGTTGATGGAAAAAAAAAAATTGAGTTGAATGATGCAACATAATGTCCTTAATGAAAAAAGTAATCTCATGTTAAGACCAACTTTTGAACCCATTTAGCTTAATGTACATCTTTCTTTTGATTTCAAAAATATCAGATTTAAATATCAAGTATTCAAGAAGGAAAGCATCTAGAAGCTTTCTTTACATGGAGTGTACCCCATCTATTCAAAGTCTGAATTAAATCATGGGGAAACCAGCTCATGATCCTAGAGATATGGCTGACTGCCCATATGTTTAAAATGATCCAAGGCTCATACACTGCAGGACAATAGCGCCTGAATATCTTTGTGTTTAACTCTTTCTGCCAATAAAATTCTCACTGACATTTATGGACCCTGCCATTTTGACTTACTGTGTGTTTATGCTAAAATTCCAAGGAAAAGGTGTATTTTTTTTTTTTGCTCCCCATATAGTCTACCTTAATAAGGAACAATTCATTTTACTTGGACTTTTCTTTTTTAATATCACTGTAGCCCTGAGACCAGGCAGAGAAAATATCAACTGGAATGCTTAAGTCAGGAGATGCTGGCCATGGGGGGAGGACACAGAGGGAAGAATATTATGAAAGGAAACTGCTGTGGCTGGTCCATTTTTAAGAAAGAACAACTACCTGGAACATGACTTCCCCAGTCTGAATTCAGAAGGCTCAAATTTGGGGAATAAAGGGATCAATACCTTGGGGTAAAGTTTAACTCAGAATAAAAAATAAAAAGAAGACCAAAAATTCTGCTGGATCCAAGAGTTAAGCAAAGCTTGTTTTGCTCCTGAGCTAAACAAACCCTGAAATTAAAAAGGGCAAATTCTTATTGTCAGGCATTAATTTTCCCCAGAGTATTAGGGATAACATAGCACAGGAGAGAAAGCAAATAAACCCAAGTTGTTTTTTTCATATTGATAAGCCACTCTGCGTGTGATAGGAAGGTCATCAGTACAGGGCCACCAAGGCTGGGCCTCCACACTGAAATGCTACAGGTGCACATTGGCTATAATAAGTTCCCAACATTTATAGGAATTGTGATGGTATTGGCACTTATTGGGGCAAACATATCACTTAGGGATGCTTCAGTACTTCCCCCTCCCTGGTCCTAACCATAATCTAATCCTCTTTTAATCATCTAACTACTAAAAGGACTCATATTATTTAATAACACACTCAAAGCTTGGAGGTCAGAAAATGAGGTTTCTTTCATCACTAAAAAGAAGGGCAGCAGAAATTCTGTTGAAGAAGACAGCAGAAAGAGGAAGAGGAGCAGTACACCCACACAGCCCCCCAAGCTGCTGACACTGAAATCAGAAAGGGAACCTGGATTTTAACTGCAAGACTAGGCTTCCTAGATTAATGAGGAGCAGAGACATTCCACTGACAATCAGGTCCTTCAGCAGGAAAAGCAGAGCATCCATGAGTATGACTTAACCTGGCCCCCTTCACTTAAAACCTTGAGCACCTGAAACACATGTACAGTTATCGGTGCTTTTCTTTTTAGATAGGAAATTTGGGGCAGGGGCTATCTTCTTCTATATATTTGTACAACTAGACAGCACTAAAGAGACCTATTTAACATTAGGGCAGAGTATTCATCCTTTGAAGCATATTTAATGTCAGTTATAAATCACTGTTAGATCAGTATATAAACACACATATGCTCTTGGACAAAAGCATCCATGCATCAAAACTCTGCATCCATACTTTAATGTATTTAATTGAGTAAGCCATTATCACTAATTATAGTTTGTATTTTCATAATACTGTTTTATGGTTATTGCCTATTCCTTTCTGTCCTTCCATCTATAAGCCTTACGTGCTATGGTGCTATCTGAAGAGCTCTTTGTTCCACACAAGGCCAGAAATCACCACCCAGACTGATCTCAGAGCTTTGACATCACCCATTCTGCGATATTGAGATTGCACACTGACTTATTCAATTTCACATACAAATTTCACACTTTGAGAAATGTTCACAGGTGCATGAGCACACTCCCCAGGGAGCTTTCCCAGTGCTATGATGCCCTCCAAAATAGCAAACAGTCCTGGGAGAGGAAAGGTGGTGCAAAGATGGAACCAACATTCCAAGCATTTTATTAATTCCTTCTAAGGACATGAAAACAATGCATCAGTACAGGCAGAACAGCTCAAAAGAGAGAAATTATACAAACTGGACAACTACAGAGAAAAATATATATAAAAAAAGGATGTCTTGAAATGAAAACTAGATTTTGTAGAACATTGATTTGACAACTTTTTCTATCCTCTGAAAAAATTTAATTCAAAGGACTGTCACTGGGTCTTTTAAAAGGAATAAAAAGACTTCACCTCCAGTGGTGTCATCATGCTACCGACTGGCACAGCCTTTGTCCTTCTGAGGGGTTGCTCCAAAGACACAGCTGGATTGGCAACATGAGGATATGACAGTTCATGGTTCCCCCATCACAGAGCAATAACAGGACACCACAGGTCGCTACCTGTGAGAGGGCCACCAATGTGCAAGCATATGACAGGAGAAGTAAGTATCATGTTAGCCCAGCAATTTAGATTCATTTTTGAACCGTACTTTATCTTATTTAATTGTAAATGTTTGTATTAATTAAAAAGTCTGATTTTTCTGGGCACTGCAGGTGGTGTGGAGCCTACAGCCATGGCTTGGTGTAGAACCAAGGAACTAGATCAGCACTGGTTCCTTGGGCATACTGCAAAAGCAAAGCTGCCTCCACAGAAATCTGCCAGGTCTCCTAGATTTTTGACATCTGATACACAATTTTTGTTGGGGTGGTCACTCCACAAAATAAATTGGTTTTCCCAGTCCATACCACTGCCTCTTTTTTTTTCACTGGTTGCATCTGATATCAGGCACAGAAAAAACAGGTTTGTGTCTCAGCTGTCAGTACAATGGTGCAGAAACATCACAGCAAAAAAAAATATCCCCAGAAAGTAGAATTATAAAACTTTTTTTGGTTTACTAGGATTTGGAGCCCCAACTCCTGATAAAAAATTCTCAGCAGGAATCACTGGACATTTTTTAAGGACTGCAACTGCAATCCATACAGACTTCAGCAACAATGGGAAAAATAATCTTGAAATAATAAAATCAAATAAAGCTCAGTTCTCAGAAATAATAATGGCAATTTTTTGAGCCACAAATAAAGTAATGCATGTTAGCATATGTATGAAAGTAGGTAGCAAAAGATCCACATGTAATTCAAGTCATTCTACTCTGTGGCTGTATCAAGCACTGAGGTAAATTCAACTTGTTACACTGCAGCTCAGTCTAACACATACTCACCCTGACCCTCTCATCACTGATTAAATAAATATTATATGAAAAAAATTCAAAGGAATAAAAAAGAAAAATAAGGGAAAAAAAAAAAAAAAGGGTAGACAAAGACACCAAGAAAGAAAAGAACTATTGAAAGCCTGTGCAGACAAGTATGAATCAACTATTCTAAAAAGCAGATGCAAAATGAAGCTGCTTAAACATATAAGGCACTTCTACATTGTATTCAAATAATGCTGAAATTATAGAGCTGTCATTTGCAGACCTGTCGAGGGTGCCTTTCTTACCACATTATGATTTAGCATTTCTCTTAGAAGGTTGTAGCAATTTTGACATTAGAGTCATTGGACAGAAAAACCATAAAATGTACGCAGAGCATCACCTCTCTTTTTTGTAGTCTTAAAAAGAGCTCTGAGATTTTTGCTACTAAAAAAAATTAATTTAAAAACCCCTGAAATTATTTGTAAAAGTGGAGAAATGCTAGTCTCAGGAGAAAGAGCGCACACATCTGTAGAACAAATGTAACTGTGAAGATTTAAATAACTTGATGGCATATAACTTAATCTGACATGGCAGGAGGTTATTTTACAAACTGTGAAGGGCTCTGCCCACTGGTGTCATTAGAGCCTCCTTGAGAGGCAGCTCAAAGATATGGATTTTTCTGGAGGCAAGCACCCAGCTGGTAGAAATGGAGATTGAAGGAGCAAGCTAAGACTTGATGACTCACTTCCCATCCTGCTCAGCTCCTGGTGAGGCAGCAGGTGTGGCACTCGGACACCATGAAACCGAGGGGCAGATCCAAGCTCACACCAGCAGTACGGAGCTCTGCACGGATGGCTCCACACCTGCTCCAGAGGCAGCGCTGGGCATCCATCAGCAGGGTCACGGGAGCGTGGGGAAGGGCCGCAGACATCCCTGGGAAGGCACACTCCCCTCTGCCCGGCTACAGGGTGCGGCTCTGGCAGCTGGCACACGGATAAAGGCGTCTCTGTCAGGGAGCCTGAATTGCTCAGAGGAAATCACTGACCCCCACAGGTCCAATTAGCAGAGTTACCTGTATCACCACTAACTAGCAGTTACACACTCACTGAGACAGCCCCCCAGACCGATCTTTTCTTGCACACACATATATCCAAACTTTCGTTGCACACTGTATTGTGTCTACTAGGTTTGCAGTTGGTTTTGAACAAATAAAAGGCATATCTGGAAGGCTGAACTGGCTCTGGACACGAAGAAAGATACAGATATATGCATGCCTCTAAAAGATACGAACTGCAAATGCTGATGATCCATGCAATATATTTAAGGGGGTATTTTTAATCACTTTCTCAGACTGTTATAATTTGATTAGATAATCCTAACCATTTAGCTCTAATAAACTCACAGATCATGAGCAATGACTGCATTAAATCCATTGTCACTAGCAGTAACACGAGGAGCAAAGGCTCAGTAGCTCTTCTCACACTGCTTGGCTTTATTCAGTCAGTGTCTGATTCCACATCAACTGCCATCAGGACAAAATTCAGAAACCATGACACCTGCTTGAAGAATAAGATGCTGATCAGATGGAATGGGCTAGGACTTTATCTTGAGAGCAGAAATGTTAATTGTTGGTAACACAATCGCTTAAAAGGTTTGTAAATTATGTGCCTTCAGCTTAACATATGGCTCATGTGAAATATGCACTTGTGAACTTTTCTCAAAACTTGGGTTTGGATGATATAGTGTGGTTGTTTCATAAACACAAGGTATAAATAAGTAAAACTTTACATGTAGACAAACAAGAGAGAGTGTAAATGTCTTTCAGCACCCTTTAAAATAATTATACTATTTTACTTTTCTTTAGCAGCATACAGATATTTACCCAATATAGGATATATACCCCAAATATCCACACAAACCTCACAGTACTGTGTAAAATCCAGGCAAGGAAACCTGTGGCCTTTTGGTTATCCTGTTCTGGTGTGGACACCAGCCCCTGCTGCCATTCTGCCCAGACAAGGAATAAAGATGTTGGCCCTCCTTTGGCTGGGTGGAGCACGGCCCCTCAAAACCTCCACCCCAGCAGAACTGTAATTTCTGCAAGGAGGAATATGGTCAGAACAAAGGATAGTCTATCTCAGAGAGGTGATTCTGTCTCTGAAGGCTCTGGAGTCTGCAGGGAAACCCACATAATCAGCCCTATCTTATGCAGATCAGTGACCAGGGAAACTCCTGATATCTACTCACAGATGCATTTGCAGAAACATAAATACCTGTGTGCACACACAAGTGTGGACAATGCAAGTGTTTCAAACCCTGTTTTGTTGATTTTATGAGGTATATGTCTGTGTGGCTTTTTCACATGTCATGTGGGGATTTCTGGATACTGATAGTCAAGAAGAATCTGAATCTGAAGAAACGTGGCGTCTTTTTACCCTTAGTGACACCAGCCAGTGCTGCTGAGACATTAATGAATTTCTTTTCATTTCTTTCTCAATTTTGCAGGAAAAAAAAAAAAAAGCCCTAACTGTTCAGAACTTTTTCAGGAGGATGATACAGATTTAAAAAAATTAGTTCCCCACTCTAATGCCAAGTTATGGTGCTTTATAGCAGCCAGCTTTGCAGTGCTAAATGATCTTCTGTAGCCTCATCTTTCCGCCTGCCTACAAGAAATAGTGACAAATTACAGCTGGGGGGTGGGGGGGAGACTGAAGAAAGAAATATTCCATTTTTAATTGCCTTTTCATTTTCTTTTTATAGCCATGCTTAAACTGTGAGTTATCAGAAGCTGTTCAAAGTCTTTCTTTTACCATTTTAAAATATATTCCTCTTAAAGCCAGATGAAAAATACGGTTAATGGGGTTTTGTGACTCCCACAAAGTCCCCTACAAATTAAGGGACTTTGAAAAAATGTCAGCTGCCCAGTTCCCAAGAAAGAAAAATTAAACAATAAAGGCTTATCGACTTGTTCCTGAGAAGATAAAGCACTTATGAATGAGACCCTCTCATACTCTCTGGTTTGTGATCAGAGCAATTTCCAAGATTCACAGAAAATATTCTGATTAGCCAAAAAAATGCTCTGATGAAATGAGGTTTAAGATTTTATAACTGAATCTCTTCCTCCCTTCAACCTGTTTTCATACAATGTGCTGTCTTGTTCAGTCATGCTGCTATCACTACCAATTATAACCAGTGCCATAAAAACATCACATTCATGCAGATCAGCTGATTGTGCCAAGTTCAAGAAAGGACAGCAGGATAGAGATGACAGCAGCTTCTGCTGGCTCTGCTCCAAAGTCCCTGCAGGCCTGTTGTTTTTCTCTTTTGAAGACCCCCAGGATTTCACTCTCTCAGAAAAATTAATGCTAGGCCTCTCTCTAAGAGGACCTGACTCCCAGTCTGCTGACACCATTGAGGGTATTTCCACTGACTTTGACTTGTCATCTGTAGAGCTCTTCATATTTCATGCCTTCCTCTTTTGCACTATTCTTGATCTCCCTGCCACGTGTCAGCCTGCGCAAAAGCCTTAAACTGCAAGCTCCAGACCCTCATCACATATTCAATACATATACACCACATACAGATAAAACTAGGATTATGGCTGTCACCTTTGCTCTTCATATGGCTTCTAGATGGTCTAAGAAACCTTAGAGAAGAGTGGGGGGGGAAAGAAACCTGTGGAAGACTTCCAATTTTAAGTTTTCTCCCTTGTGGAGTCCTGTCCTATGCCAGCTAGTGAAAGGGAGACAACACAAAAGGAAAAGGTGAGCTCACACTACATTTTTATTGTCCAAGCACAGTAAGCCAGGCATCTTTCTACAGTTTTGCTAGACTACTGTTGAAAGCCCATGTGGATTTCTGAATTAATTTCTTTGAAAATTGAAAACTATTTCACCTGGAAAAGTGTAACTGTAGCTAGCTAGCTAAATTAGTCAGAATTGAAAATAGCTTTAAAATGTTCTACTTAAGCTAATGCCATTACCAAGAGTAAGCTGAAGAAACCACCTCTTCTTGCAATGCTCAAAGGAAAATGAGATTTAAAAACACTTTTTGAGTTCTCTTTTTCTCTGTTACTTCATTTTCCTGACACTGTAAATGTGAAGGCAGTTTCATCAGCAACAAGACAGTAGTCAACTGCAAAAAGGAGGATCATTCATATCTCCATGTTAGCGGCAGCAAAACCTGGCATAAAATGTTCATTGCAGGTTTTTTTTAGAAATCCTACATAATAATTAAAGATAAATAAGGCACTTCTTATTCTAATCTCAAAAAATTAAAATAAAATAAATAAAAAAATCTGAGACACAACTGTTCAGCTATGCTTTGGCTTCCCAACTTGCCCAGAGTTGCGTATTTTTAGCATTCAGCTGATTTGACTAACTAAGCAGGGACAGCATTAATTGCTGCGGGAGGCTGACGTGGAAGAAGAGTCACATTCTTCCCTTAACGTGGTACAGTCTGTCATGACTCTGCAGAGTGACACAGTGAGCTCAGAATAGCAGTTGAACCAA